TAACGTAATTCTCATTTGACACAAAATCCATTTGACATAAATATCATTTGACATAAAATTTTCTTGACATAACTTTCATTTGGTATAAATCCCATTTAACTCTTCGCAATGATTCCAGAACTGTAATCAGAACTCTGAATTTTAAAATTTTGAAATTTTTTGCGAATTTTAAAGTTCTGTAACATTTTTGATTTTAGATTTAAAACAAAATGTCATTAGATATACTTATAGAACTCTTCGCAACGATGCCAGAACTCTATTCAGAACTCGCAAAATATTATTTTAATAACTTTTTTTAATTTGCTAATAACTTTTGAAATTTTGCAGAACTCTTGTTTTTTTGGTAGTGAACTCTAGAACTTTTTTTTCTCTTTCAGAATATTAAGTCAGAACTTTTTTCTGCAAAAATCATAGTTCTATGCAAAGTTAGCACTATGATTTTTCATTGTCGCTTTTTTTTATTGTTAATCATCAGAACTAGTATTTTAATTTTAGAAAAAATTTTTATTGGGATTATGTGCAGAACTCTTATTACAGATACCAGAACTCTGCTAAGAACTCAAAAAGTATTAATTTTTTGCAGAAATGTTTTTTTTTTAATTTTTCAAAGTTCTGTAGTTTTTAGAATTTTAAGTTTAGAAAAAAAATTTATTGGAATTATGTGCAGAACTCTCATTACAGATACCAGAACTCTGTTCAGAACTGAAAAAGAATTGTTTTTTGCAAAACTCCCATTACAGATACCAGAACTCTGCTTAGAACTCAAAAAGAATTAATTTTTTGCAAAAAAGTTTGCTTTTTGTAATGTTTCAATGTTCTGTAGTTTTTTCGTACTTTACGGAACTATTAATTTTTTATGAGAGAACTCTAGAACTCTTGATTTGTTATCAAAGTACCATGTCAGAACTCTTTTCTGTGAAAATTGTAGCGCGAAATTATCACCTAATTTTTTTCATATTATTTTTTGTAGTGTCAATTGCCAGAACTATTGAAAAAATTATTATAGAACTACAGAACTATTGCTATACAACCCAGAACTCATGTGATTTTTTAATTTTTTGAAAAAGTGGTGCTAACTTCACATGACTATTTTCCCTATTGCATTATCTCTCTGATACAATGTGGAGAACCCCTGGAGTTAGCCGATAGATACTAATGGTAGGGGTACGGCGCTCGCAACGACAGTGCGACTTCGCCTACATGTGGAACCGCTGTAAGTGGCCCAGAAGCGCTCACTGCTCACTGACTGGCAGTTGCGCGTTCCTCCGAGCGTCGGGCGAGTTATTGGATCCAAGGCCTCATTTTAATTCGTTTTTCTAAATTCCTTTTTACCTTTCATCTTCCCATGGCCGGAAAGGTTGCATACGTTAGTTGTGCATGTATGTAATTTATTCTAATTCTTAAATTAACTGAATCTAAGAAATAGAAGGTACCTCTGAGCAAAAGGATATCCAAGGGATATCCTAGAGATATCTCGCGGGATATTGAGATATCCCAGGGAGATCCCTGGGATATTTGTGATATCTCAGAAATATCCCTGGGATATCCAAATTTCCATCCCATGGGAGACTCGCGCGGGATATCCAAATATTCTCCACACGGGATATGCTACGTAAGAAATAGTAATCCCTATATTAAAGAACCAGTAGAACCGGGTAGAATCAGGAGCCTACTTGCTTTGAGTTGGTTATTGTCACGTAAGTTCCAATTTCAAACCAGTAGATATGTATTTTCATATCTGGTTCATAGCTGGTTTGAATTCGGAATGTCAAGTTCAAAATGAACTGGTTTCAGTTTGAACATTTCGGTCAACCGGAAATTCCAAGTAGGTTACATTGTACAATATGAACTTGTTTCAACTTGGATATCGATTCATAATTGGAAATCCAAGGTGGTTACAATTGAACAGATAGTTTTGAAAAAAAATATTTGTGGAAAAAATAATAAAAGATTCTTATGACCATTAATAACTTCATATTCTTAGCACACTCCAAACATACAAACATTTTCATTAAACTGGAAGAAATAAATAAAAATTGTACCCTATGGGAATCGAACCCCGCACCTATGACCTATCTATCTAAACGCTTAACGATCGCGGCTATCGAATCGACGTGAGAAATATTTTTCGACCTGTCTATATAAACTGCAACTTTGAAAAACGTAAGTTTATGTAAAATATTATACTTTTTGTAAGTACCTATAAAAATACAAGCAGAATTTAAAATATTTATATAGATTTGCAATATATGCTATTATGTTAAAAATATTAATTAATCAAATATTTAATAAGTTTCTGCTCAAATGTCATTTGACCGCGTTCTAATTTTTTGCAAAAATTTGCAAAAAATAACATTTAGCGAAATAAAAAACAGAACATTCATTAAAATTAAAATTCGCAAAATGACTCAACTGTGTTAAAAAAATTCCATTGATTGTGAACTACAGATTTTTATAAAATTACAAAATTCACAAAATTACAAATAGCAATAGTAACAAATTCATAAAAATATCAATTCGAGAAATGCAAATTCGCAAAAATAAAATTTTCAAAACAACAATTAGCAGAAATAATGATTCACAATAAAGCAGTTTCGCAAAAAATAACAATTAGCAAAAGTATCTACCAATTTGTAAAACTGTCAATTGCGAAGAATCCAAGTTTGCAAAAATAAAATTTGCAAAATAACAGTTAACTAAAATAAATATTTGTAAAAATGTAAATTTGTAATAATAATTCTTTGCAAAAATAACAATTTATAAAATAACAATTGGCGAAAATGACAATTTTATGAATTCCAATTAGCGATTAATCAAACTCTTTAAATTTGAACTTGAAATTCCAAATAGAATGCATCCCCGATTCAAATTAAACCAAGATGACATTAATCCTTCACTGTAACTTATAAATTTAGAGTTGGAAATTCCAAACTCAAGCTTGTTGATTTTTAATTTGACAGGACAAGTGAAATGTAGTATTCGAGAATCCAAATTGAAGCAAGTAGACTTGAACTTAATTTTTGTATTTGGAAATGCAAGCTGATACTTGTAGTACGTGCGAACTTGGAAATACAAGTAGAAATGATAAGATTGGAAATCCATGTTAAAACAAGTCGAAACAAAAATTGAAGAGGACAATCCAAGATAGAACCATTTCAATTTTATCTTGGATATCCGTTTCAGTTACATAAATAGGATTTCCAAGTTGAAACCAGTAGAATTGCTACACGGAAAAGTTTTTCAATTTGGAAAGCAAGTTGACACCAGTAGATCCATGTTCAATTTCTACTAGTCTCAACTGGTTCTTTAATATAGGGATATGTTGAAAAATAATTAGAGCTTTAAAGAGTTGAAAAACCATTATTAAATTATAACTAGAATGAGAAAAAAATTATTTCAAAAAAAAAAGATTATTTGACTAATATCAAAGTTATTTGTTTGTGATTTAAGAAACATTAGTTGAATTCAATAAAATGTCTTTTTAACGCTAAACATTTATTGTGTGTTGGTTTAAACTAATTTTGGTCAATTCATTTTGTCTATTACTGATTAATATTTATTGGTTAAAGATATTTACAAGAAACTAAAAAAATGTGAAAGTTAAACATATTAAACAGCAACACTTTTTTTTAATCACACACTGCAAAACACACGCTTCTGATCTAATGACGCGACGCCATGGTCGCCATGAGGTTGAGTCCACAATAGACAGCGTTAAGGAGATTGAGCTACTTAACACCATTGATATCAATGGTCTTAAGTAGATTATCGATGGTCTTAAGTAGCTCAATCTCCTTAACGCTGTCTATTGTGGACTCAACCTTACACTCAACAGCTGGGAAGGTCGACGCCTGCACGTGTAAGATTATATGAGTACATACATATAAAATTTTATTTCTTTCTTGTTTAAAGGGAAAATATACTGGATTTTCAGTAATTAATCTAGTAATTCATGCATTATTTGTTTAGAATGTAGTTAGAATAAATATTTGAATAATTTAATATATTATCTACCAAAAAATAGTAACTGAAAAATCGTACACTTTAAGCTGAGTTTATAAATATATTTATTTTCCACTTTCGTTAATTTCATGCAACAAATATCTAAACAAACTTTTTCTAATTTAAATGCGTTAAATATAATTTCACAGCTCTTTGACACACACTCTTTGACACTTGGAACGATTGCATTTCGTTTCCTGCGCATGCGCTGACATATCCCACGCGGGATATCCCACACGGGATGACCCACGAAAGAAAACTTTGCATATCCCGTGGATATCCCAGGGACCTCCTAGGGATATCCAGTGGATGTCCTTGAGATATCCAAATTTCCGTCCCGTGAGATATCTCATGGGATATCCCTGAGATATCCTAGGGATATCACGGGATGGAAATGGAATAATCGCGGGAAATCCCGTGCTGTGAGGGGTATTACCAAGCTATAGGATGCAAAAATCCAGGCTTGAAAATAATTTAATAATTAAATTTTATAGTTATAATTATAACAACAAGTATTGTTTTTTTTCATTTATTGGGACGTAACAAAATTTTGTATTTATTTTTAAAATAATTACCAGCAAATATAAATGGTTGTAAATAATTAATGTAATGTAATATATTTGATAATAATAGTTATTAATAGTATAATGTGTATTAATAATATTTAATAGCAATAATTATAGTAATTTTACTAATAGATTTGCTAATTTATTATTCTAATACTATAGGGAACGGTGGTCTAGTAATAATCTAGTGACTTTGATCTATTCTCTTCCTCCATTTTGTTTTTTCCACTCTTTCTAACCTGTTAATTGAAGAGAGAGAAAGAAAGAAAATTGGAGGGGAGAATCACAAAGAATAGGTCGCCACCAGATGGCGTATTGCAGTTTAACCGTTCCCTATTTTGTTGGAAAATTAGGATTAGAAAAAATGTGCAGTGGGGAACTACACAAAATTGAGGTGATGGAAGGTTGTAAATGACGGTAGATTCATAGAAATTAGTTCAAAAATTTATTTATTAGTGAAAATTCACTATTTTACATAACAATCTTAACACTGGTTCATAAACCAAGTGTAAAGCTCTTTTTTAAGTCGACGAGCCATTTTGCTTAACTTAACCATTTCAGTCCGTAATTGTCAGTCATGAAACAAGTCAACGAAGACCATTGAATCTCTCACTGCTATTGACTCTACATTTTTTTACCGTAAATTTATATTTTACATTATTTAAACCTATTGTATTTTTCTACTGGATGCTTGGAAATAATAACATTATTTTCAAATTATAGCTGATGTAATTGACTAAAATGAAAAATTGCAAAAGAAAAGTTTTGATAGATGATATGTGCAAGTGATTCTATTTTCATTGGGAATTGTTTCGTTTTTGTCAGGCACGAAAAAATTAATAGCTTTCGCTCATCTCTTTCATGTGGTAGATCATGATGTCCTTGAAGTAGACATTGGGCATGGAGAAGAACCATGGTTTCACTGGTCTGTCCAATGGATAACCGAATGCCTTGCCGTCATAGTAGAATTTACCGTAGATGGGGAATTCGTATTCTTTGCCTTCTTCGAATGGATAGACGTAGGCGAAGAGTCTGTATGGCATACCTTCCTTCTTACCCTTGGGGAGGAGAAGACGGTCTGGGAATCCGAATAATTTCTCGCTGTAGGTAAATGGCTCGTTGCCTTCGGCAGCCTTGACGATCTTCCTGTAGTAGGTCTCGAATGATGTGTAGTCATCAGATGTGAAGGTTGATTCTGTGCTCTTGCGTTCAACGTTGTTCATTCCAGTCTTAACTGTAAGCAAACAAGTATTTATAGAAGTCATTCTTTATGAAGAAACTTTTGTAATATTTTGTAACAAGAGGTAGGCTAAACTTACGGCGGTATTCGAATTTGTCGAGTTCGAAGAAGTTCATGTAGTTTCTTTGGAAGTAGGTGTATTCGTCGTATTTCTCGCTGAAGTATGCGGGTCCAAGGAAGATCTTGATCATGACCTTGGTGTCCTTGTCGCTATTGATTCCAAAACGGTAGGTGAATGGTTTATAATTGAGACGGAGTTGTCTGGCTTTAACGTTGAAGACACGTCCTTCCTTGAAGCTCTCAACGGAAACGGCGTTGTTGATGGTGGCATCATAGTAGTCGAAGAAGGTGACGAGTTTGTCAACATGGAAGTTCTCGATCTTGACTCCGGGGTAGTACAATTCGTTGTAAGAGTAGTGTTTCAAGTTCTCCTTGTAACTGTTTAACAGATGAGAATTTTGAGTTTAAAATTTTGAAATTCTGAAAGTAATAGTAATAATAGTAATAATAACTCTTATTTTACCGTTGGAAGAAGTAGAGAATTCTGTCGTAGAGTTTGTAGAACATTGGGTCTCTCAAGCTGGTACTGAAGGTCATGAGGGAGCTTGGGATGAAGTCCTTCTTGCAAGTGTATTTGTTGTTGTAGTCGAACAAGTTCCTGATGATGTATTCGTAAGATCCGTAGTATTTGTAGTTGAATGTGTCGAAGTTTCCTTCAATCAAGTTTCCAAGGATGTTCAAACCTTCTGGGGTGTAAATGTTGTATTGCTTGCCAGTTTCATCAACAACGAATCCATAGTCGATGGCTTCATAGATGCGGTTTTCCTTCAAGTCGATTTGCTGCAAAGGGAGCGGAATTAGTAATTGCGGTTCTTTAATACTGTGAAGACGTTTGGAAGTTAACAAAGAATTTTTGGCAAGTAAAGGGTTATTACCTTCAAGTAGTCTAATTTGTATGGTGGGAAGCTGTACCATTCGTCACGTTTGGGAACTGCGACACCGTTGGAGTACATCAAGTTGGAGTAGAAGCCGGGGAATTTGCCCTTGTACCAGTCGAATGGCTTCATTCTTCCCAAGTCATTGGAGAGACGTTCTAAGTAGTAACGAGCCATGATTTGTTTGTGGAAAAAGTAGTAGAATTCACCACGGAATTGCTTGGGGACTTCGTAGTATTTGGTGTTGACCCAGAATGGGAAGACCATACGGAAGTAGTAGTAGTAGCTGTTGAGACCAATATCATCGAAGAAGTATGACATTTTGTATTCTGGATAGTAGCATTCTTTGCATGACCCGGTATAGTTGGAGTAGACCATGTATGTGTCAGCAGAGTCGCGTTTCATTCCAACGTCATAGTTGCGGTAGTTGGCACCACGGCTCATTTTAACTTTCTGTGCTTCTTGAATGATTCTGGAGTCGAAGTACAAGTATGGGAAGACTTCATATGGAGCTGGAAGACGGACGTATCTGCAATCGCTTCTGTAGATGACGGCAGTATAGAAGGCGTTCACAAACATGTATTTGTTGACATAAAGACGTGCCCAGCAAGCGGTCTTGTAGAAGGTTTGGAAGTCCTTGGCGGTGTAGAAGAGACGATAAAGGGACATCATGTCCTCCATCATTTCATAGTTGTAGTATGAGAACAACACTCCGCGTTCGAATTTCCTCTCCTTGTATCGGTACAGGAAGTCTTGTACAACAGTCTGGAAAAAATAAAATATTTTTTAAAAACATTCTTCAGGTTAATTTTAGTTTCATGTTTCTTAGATTTTTGATATTTAATTTTTTTTCATCGAATTAAGAACTGTTTATATTTACCTTGTCCGTGTAGTAGTCCATGTTGCTTCCGATGTCATAATTGCGCCCAAATTCAAAGTATTCGGCATCAGTTAAAGCGTATTGGTCAACGTAGAACATAAGCTCGAAGAGTTTCTTCTGCTTATGGAGGAAGTCCATGTCCGCAGTGCGAACATTTTTGTAGCCTTGTGCAAAGCACATAGCTGAGAGCACCAACACTAATGATAGCCGCAACATTTTGGTCGAACTATGCACCCTTTGGTAAATAGTTACACTTCTGCCAGCGGTAGGCAGGAAGATGCTGTTTGGACCACTGATCCTGGCTTTTATACCAAGAAATTTTGCTCAAATCTTGTTAACCTGTGACCTGTTTGATAAAAACAGTTGCCTGATTTTCAAATCTGTTACCACCTCCTCCGTGTATAATTTATTTTTATTCTTGATACTGTAATGTCATTCACTGCACAAAATTATAATTAATACCGAATTTTTATCATTGCAAACACAGTGTTCACCTTGTTCACGAATTGCAAATTCTTCTAAGAGAGAGAGGATTTTTGGTATGTTCTCACAGTATAGTTCAAAATTAAGAATTTTCTGTTCATTTTTGCTTTTAATTAATTTTCAGTAAATTAAAATTTCATAAATAAATTTCTGTTTAACAAAAAGTTATAATAATTTTTTTAAATTCAGTAAAAAATATAATTAAAAAAACATTCTTTAAGAAATGAATAAAGTATCTTATTATAAGACTAATGTAAATAATTAAAATTTGTTTATATAACAAAAAAATTTTGTATGACTATTTTACTTTTATTTTAACTTGGTTAAGTCTGACTTAATCCCCATTTTTTGTAGTTTTATTTAATATTTTATTTGTTATTATTAAAAACATATTAAAATTAATATTTAAAATTTTTTAAATAGAGTAAAGCTGTATTACTATTTTTTAAAATGATTTTTAATACGCCATTAATTACAGCACTTTCCTTTTTTTAGTTTGTTTTATTTATATTTAAATAAATTCTCAAAATTAGTAATTAGCAATTTGTAAAGTATTTGTAACAATTTGAAAATTAAAAAAATTTAATTTTACTCTATCAAGTTAATTAATGATAAATAATGTTTTACTGAATATTACATAAATTTAAATTTTTTTTAAAATTCAAATAAATATTCTTCTAAACAAAACATTTATTTTTTAAAATGTGTTTTTTCTAAGCATTAATTAAAAAATGTACAATAAAAGTTTTAAAAATTAGAAACAATATATTAAAAATATTCAAAGTGTTAATTGCTTCAAAAAGCAATTGGAATAATTTTACGTTTATGTACTATTTTTTTAAACATTTATAATAATCATTTTCACATTGAAAGGTTATTTTCGTCTATTTTAAATTTAAATTTTAAGACAGCTATGAACAGAAAACAAATAATTTTTAACTGTTGTGTATAGTATCAAAAATGTCATGCAAAACAATTTACCTATAGTTTAGTTGAAACATCCATTAAAATCAATAAAAGTTTGCAGATTTAAAGAAATTTTTTTACTTTTATTTAATTTATATATCAGAAATTCAGAGATTAATAATTTAAATCATCTAAATTGTAATTAATAATCATTCAACTCTATAAAAATATACACAGAGAGAGAATAAATATTAAATTTTGTAAAAGTATTTTACAATTTGTGGAAAAAAATGCGATGAAGCAAAAATTTTATATAAAAAATACTAAACTTTAAAATTTTGCTTTGTCGCATTTTTTCCCTGATTTGTAAAATACTTTTACAAAATTTGATATTTATTCTCTCTCCGTGTAAAAGAATGATTAATTATGTATTTGATAGTTTTCATATTATTACATTCTCATCACATGAAAAGGTATTATTTTTTTTGAAGCATTAATATGTTTTTTATTTACTCTTTTAATTTCAAAATGTAAGAAAAAATACTCTACTTAAGGAGGTTCTTTGGCTGCTACTTCTTCGAGTGCGCTTTAAATTTGGTAAAAAGTTCACAACCCTTTGACAGGGCTAAGTTTTGAGTTATTCAAGTTCAAACTTTAACTTCTACATGCAATTATATTAAAAATTAAAAATATCACCCACAATATCTCGTTCTTTGACATGGAAAGGGTTCTGAAATGCTTACCACATTTAAATAGTGTTCACAAAGAAACATTTCTTTAAAATTTGAAGAAAATTTAACGAAAATGTTTAACACGTACTTTTTTGTAATAGGCCAATTATTTAGAGATGTAATTAAATTCTAAACTGGAGAGATCTTTGAATGCTTGCATACGTTTTATTTATAACTTACCAAAAAGAGAACATATTTCGAATTATAGGATTAAAACCGGTTTATTAAATGTTGCAACCAGAAGACAGTATTTCATGGGAAATTTACTATACTCTGTTATTAATAATAAAATTCCTGAGTATCTTTATGATTTTCTTTGAATTCAAGAATGATAAAGAATCAATTAGCGGTAAACTCCGAGAAAGAAAATCTGTATTAAAAATACCCTTCCATTGCACCTCTAAGATGCAGAAAACGTTTATAATAATTATAGATGTGTGAGACTTTGGAATAAGTTACCAACTAACATTAGAGATGCTTCGAGTCAATTCATTTTTAAAAAATTATTTTTTGATTTCTTATTTAAATGTAACAACAATTTGTTTGATGTAACATATTGGTAAAATTTTGTTATTTTTTGATATACTTTTTAAAAGATTTGTTATCTTTGTTAAATGTTTTTCAATATACAATTTTATAACTTTTTTCGCAACTATATTAAATACCATTTAAAATATAATATACTTATTGTTATCTACTGAAATAAAATTATTTATTTTTATATATATATATATATATATATATATATATATATATATATATAGGGGAGAGTCTTCAGTTGTGAGACACCTCCAGTTGTGAGACAGTCAATTTTTTTTAACATGCAATATTAAAAAGACGATTGGTTTATATAAAAACATTTCTTTTTATATGAGCCAACTTTTTCGTGTACGCCGAAGCGGATATATAAACTGTTTTTGTTAAATACCAACACTGTGTGTGATAATCGACTAAAAAGCGTTTTTTCAATAAATGCAAAGTACTTTTTTTCCAATTTAATTAATTGGAAAAGGTAAATGTAATGAATTTTCTTTTAGTGTTTTCCTTATATTTTGTGATGCAATATTGCATTGTTCCAATCTACGGTTGAAAATAATTTAATTTTCCTTTTTCAAAATAGCGCCAATTTCTGGGTGTGAGACACAGCAAATCACTAGTTGTGAGACGGTGTCAAGACCCATCTGGGCAGCCTAAAAAATACGACTTTGCAGGCATACTATTTAAATGTTGTTTTGATTTTTTTTCTAGTATTTTTGGGCATGTCAAGTGGAAAAAAGTCAATTAATTCAGCGGAAATCAATTTTAATGCTCTTGTTGAAGCTATTAAATTGTGTTTATTTGATAGTCATACTTTGGCGAATAAATATTATTATTTAGTATATAATAATAAATATTATTAATATATTTAATTATTTCTACTAAACATAACGTTTTATGTCAAACTTATTAAATTTTAGCAATTTTACCTTTCCAACGGTGTATTTTATTTACAATTTCGTTTACCCGTTTACAATTTACGGGTAAAAAATGAAACCCGTCTCACAACTGGAGACTCTCCCCTATATATATATATATATATATATATATATATATGTATTTGTTCCTTGAAGGGCTTTAAGCCCTAGGAACTTGATTTTCTTAAATAAAATTAATAAATAAATAATTTAATATATATATATATATATATATATATAATTTATTCTGTACTATAAAATATATATTTTGTTACAGGAAGTTTCCGCTATATACATTATTTAATTTAATTTATCACATAGTAGCAAACATTATCCTAATACTATAGAATCATTCGGTACATATTGCAAAGCGCTGTCATTCTATCACAGTCTGAAGCATTCAACTTAATTTTATTTAAATAAAATTTAGAGATATGTAATTTATTTAGAGCAATAAACAATTTAATTAAATTTACGATGATGATTTTTAATTATTTTTACTATTTAACTAAATTAATTATAACTGCTTTATACAAAAATTATTAAATTAAGATTCTCTTTAAATAAGAATAAACGAGAAATTATCTACTAATTTAAATTAGAAAATATTTGTAGTAATTTTTTATAGGGGGCGGATCCAGACAAGGTTCTTGGGGGGGCATCTGCTAGACGCTAGCTTGATGACCTTTTATGAATGAAATTTTTATTTAAAAAATTCCAGGAAGTTTGAATTCTCGGGGGGGGGGGCATGTCACTGTGTCCCCCCCTGGATCCGCGTCTGCTCATTTAAGGCGCTCTCACAGCTAGTAGGCAGCATACGAATTTGAATTTACTATCTCTTTCACTCTAATTGATTTTCTCTCTTACTCCAATTACTGCCTGCGCAGGCAGGCAGAGCTGTGAGAGCTCCATTAGCTTACAGAAAAGTTAATTTTATAGCTATAATCATACTGTATTAATTATTGTTACTATCTTAATTGATAAACTTATTTTGTTATATTTCTTATACCATTTATTTTAATAATAATTGTATTTTTGAAAAAAATTTAAATTATATACATCACTCAGAGAAAAAGTTTATTTCACTTAACCAAATACTGTTTAATTAACCTATTTTATTTGTCACGATAAAACAATTTTGTTGATTTAAATAAAAATTTGGTTCATTTTAATAAATACGTAAAATTTGTTTGGTTATTCGAAAGAAATTTTTTATTTGAAGTTGTTTCCCAGTAAGAAACGAAAAATTGAAAAGGATTGAAATAATTCAAACTCTGTATGGTGTAGTAGAAATTATCCAATACCTTTGAATGCCATTTCTGTCCAATACTTTTCTATACCATGATAGGACCACGTTTCGTCTAAAAATGAATGCTATTCAATTCTGTTTGTAATTGTTAACAAAGACAAAATTTTTTTCTGAATGCTTTCCAATCCCATCCGAAATTATTACAGCCTGTCATTACATCACTTTTCAATTTTTCATTGTGGAACCGCGTTTCTGCATGCATTCAAGCAATCTTCTGGATTTTTGTAATTTATAAGATACATACAGTGGCAGATTTTGTAAAAAGTGTTTGTGTTCAAAGAAAAACTTGCTGAAAAATTGATTGTTTACCAATTTAACGTCATTTAAACGAGTCAGGGCCGTTATTCTGTTAGACAATAAATCATAACCTAAAAATTCCAGAGACCTTTAAACACTTTTA